CCCCTGATTAGACACAGATTCAGGACAATAGTGTCCTCATCAGCCCCCTGATTGGACACAGATTCAGGTACGAGAGAGTGTGTCCTGTACCCCCTGTTAGGACACAATTCGGGACGAAGATAGTGTGTCCTGAACCCCCTGAGTTAGGACACAGATTCAGGACAAGAGAGTGTGTCCTGATACCCCCTGAGTTAGGACACAGATTCAGGACAAGAGAGAGTGTGTCCTGATACCCCCTGAGTTAGGACACAGATTCAGGACAAGAGAGAGTGTGTCCTGATACCCCCTGAGTCAGGACACAGATTCAAAACCAGATATCAGGACACAATGAAACTAAGGACGGACTTTTCCGCCCTCCTCAGTGTGTCTGACTCTAACACGATGACGAGCGGTGTAGGCGTGGCTTCGTGCTGCACGCTGTAACTCCGAGCCGTAGTGCCTCCATTCCCCACTCAGCGGTAACTATCATCGCAGATCATACAGATCCAATAGTGTCGTAATACCTTCAGCATGAGCTCAATGGTGGCGTCCAACTGGGGCCTCATAAACTTGGGACACTGCTCTCCGAGGTCAATGAACGCCTTCAGCAGGGAATCATCTTCTTGTCCCTCGACACTCTTACCCACTATCTATGGCACAGACAGAGAAGAGGGGAGGAGGGAGGAGGGAGGAGGGAGGAGGGAGGAGGAGAAAATGTTACAACCTTCAAAATTGACACAATTTTTCTTTCACACAACAGCTTCAAACCATAACTAAACCTACAACCGTCAGTGGAATTCACTACTCATCAAAAAAAAGTTTTACGTGAAATCAGCCAACCAGCAAAATTATACGCCACGAAAATTCGGCACACATACAATAGGCACAGTTGAACCACAGCTAAGAACACTAGCTCATTTCATCGGCACGACCCTCACAATAAGCCACAGGTCCAGAATATGTGTAGTTCAATACTGCGTATATACAAAGAACTGTGGTACATACGTAGTGAAAAGAGTTGTGTGTGAGTGACAGCTGCGAACTCACTGCGAGCAGGAGAGGAAGCATGTCTATGAACCTGCTTCTCAACTGGGCAGAGTCCAGGTGCGTAATGAACGCCACTGTCGCCTTGAATGCCTCTGACTGCACCTGGCACGGAAAAACACACATCTAGTATAGAGTGGAACCTTCTAATCCGGACACCAAGGGAATAAAGTGTTCATATTAGTGAGTGGAATGAGCACATCAGTGTATTGAACACATTATGGGCTCTCCAGTCTTTTGGAAACCCCAGTCCCACATATTCCAGCACACTTTCACAGCATATAGAGTTACGTCATAACCACAAACTTATGAATATTCATGAGTAACACATAATATAATGTCCTGTACCTACACCATCATCCGTGAGCTATTTGAAGCATGCAACGAAAACATGTACAGTTTACATTACCAGCAATGCAGGTGAAATACTGTACGTGGTAGCCATCACAATAGGCAATACTGTAGATGCTACGTGCTTATATACACTCGATGTTGAAAAATGAATGCTGTGCAATTGACTGTGACCCTTGAACTGCTCTAGGAGCCAACATACAAATTTGCTGGAGTTGTAATGTTGCCTTTTTATATAGGACTTGTGTCAGGCGCAATAGTCCAGGGGCCCATCACTCTTCACACAAATCACAGCTAAAATACACTAGAAATCTTATAAGACTAAGTTTTGAGCAATCACAGCTGTAAATTCTTTCACGTGTAACGGAAGGCTTTGCCTACTTATAGCCAGAAATGCACATTAATCTACTTCGTTTAGTGTGTCTACGAGGGGGGGTTCACTAATCATGGCTAAAATGTGGATGAAATTACTTCATTCTGAGGGGCTTGTAGAGCTTTGAGCAATAAGCCTTTGATGACGTCAAGACAGTTGATCAGTTGGTTTGCAAACACTCCAGGAACCACGCTAGACAAGGAGAGAGAGAGCGGGGAGAGAGAGGGGAGAGGTAGGAGAGAGAGGAGAGAGAGGAGAGAGGAGAGAGAGAGGGGAGAGGGAGAGGAGAGAGAGAAGAGAGGAGAGAGAGGGAGAGGGTATTACATGCAGGAAAGAGAGAAGCACACAGGATAGAGCTATATATGGTGTGTACGGTTTCCCAGGTGACTGACCTAATGATGTGTAGAGCTGACTCGTACAGGTGAGGTTGTTCCAACGTACAGCACTCAAAGAGAAACGAGAGCAGCTCCACCCAATGGTTCACATTGTCATCGTCTGCAGTGACACACAATCTCTGTCACTATGCAACAACTTCCTCTCAACATTCTTGTCCTCCAAAACTGAACCTCTTATACCGGACACTCCACGCATAGGACACCTCTTTAAAACATGTGTATTATCAGGTGGTAATACCTTTAGTGGGCAATGGTTGGTTTCATTTGCGTACTTTACAGAGGCTTCACTATATAATATACCAATAGATGATTGTATACCAATTGATGATCGAGCCATTTCAGCGACAGCGTCTCCGATTTTCCTGCGAATGGGAGGGAGAGGCTCGGAAGACAGGCCCTGGAGGAGCTCCGTCTGACATTGTCTCAGAACGCCAGGGTCCACCTCTTTGTGCAGGTCGCCGTAGTCTAGCTGCAGGAACACTCGCCGCAATAGGACTGCTGCCATTGTCTTGACCTGTGAGCAGTGTGGCAGAGGGAGGGGAGTGAGGTATGGGAAGGGAGTATAGAGGCAGCTAGCTACTGACCTCAGCCGATGCTCCCAGCGCTCTAAGAGCCGTCACGAGATGCGGCAGCTTTACGCTGAGTGCCAATCCATTGAACTGCTCCTGTGGGGAAATACAGGCCGCCTCAAGCTCGATCTGTAGTCCACCAGGTGTGGTGGTGTATCCAACGGGGCGCAGTGCAATACGGCCCCGCCCGACCGTGTTCTAACCTCTGCCTGGTTCCTGGTGTCATTGTCGCCGGAGAGAAGGTTGTTCAGGATCGCCTGGAAGTCCGCCATGACTGGTACTTCGATCGAGATGAGAGACGGCGCCGGTATTATAGCTCACCATGTGGGCGCTCTCGTGGGGGGCGCGTAAAATATATTTGCGCATGCGCGGCACGTTACACCACGCCAATAACAGCGCTTAGTGCGCATGCGTATGCGCGGGTTTTTCGATCTTTTCGATCTGCTCGATGCGTTTTCGAGGCTTCTCATCGAGACGGCAGATATAAGATCTGAGTAAAATAGTCAAGGAGCTTTAATTTTCGCAAGAAACGGCTGAAAAACTTCACATATTGCTGGTAAAAATTTTGCGCAGCGTCTTTGGGTGCAACAGATGCTGCGACCGCCAGCAATGAGGGGGGCATGTTTGCTCCTCGTTCTCCTCGCAGTATGCGACGCCGCGCCGAGCGAAACCGAAATCGAAGGTAAGCAAGCTCAATCTTAAACAGTCGCGTTAGCGATCCAACAACTCTTCCGCGCTAGCGATTCGTGACAAATGACTGACTTCAACGACTTCCATTTTCAGCTCCAAACTCTGCCCTGCTGCGAGAAAGGCGGACCTACTACAACTACAGGAGCTGCGGGAAGCCGGGCGCACCGGGGAACGGCTGGACTATCTTTGGCGGGACTACGGCGGGCAACAAGGCTCTCCACTCGTGCAAAGCCGGGTACCTTCTGGTGGGCGCCAAGCTGAGGATCTGCCAGAGCAATGGGAGATGGACTCCAGCCATTCCAGAATGTAGACGTGAGTCCTCCTGTCACTGTATTAGCTCAATATGTCAATCCTTCAGTGGAAATTCAACCAGCTCACGGCCTATGCATAAGCTTACAGCAAGTACTATCAGTGGTACATTCACACAAGAAGATGCTTCTTTATATTTCCCTTGTAGTGGTGGATTGTGGAGACCCAGGTCAGCCGGAAAACGGCATGAAGTGGCTGAGGAGTACCACTCTGGGATCCTACGTCAAGTACAAGTGTTTCGAAGGATACAAGCTGAAGGGATACGGCTACAGAAAGTGCCTCAGTGATGGCCAGTGGTCAAGAAGCCTCCCAACTTGTGAAGGTGTGAGCCTCAATTGACCTTCCAAAGTGTTTCTTTCTTTCGATCTCAATTGTGAGCTGTTTTTTTTGCATTACATGTAGCTGTTGGCTGTCAGAGTCTTGAAAACCCGAGGAATGGTAAAGTGGTTGTGACTGGATTGAGGGCCACCTACAGCTGCAACCAAGGATACGTACTTGTTGGAGCCGCTACTAGACAGTGTGTTAGAGGAAAATGGCAGCCAGAGGCACCAATTTGCAGAGGTAAACGTTTTAATAGCATGCACTGATAGATTGCATGTTGCTAAAGTAATAGTGGGCTTGTAGATCTTCGGGAAAACGGGCCAGCCCCACTTAACGGGAAATGAAACAGTTGTAAGACAACACAAATTCGGCAACATATGTGCCAATTGGACGTATGCCCGAGTCAACTTCCTGTCGTTGTTTCACTGAGCTCCATTGTCCTCCGAGGCAAGACGAAACAAAAACAGACTGAGCTGTTCAGAGCTCTGCCTCCTTTTGTCCCCGGCACAACACTAGGCCGCCGGCTGCATGCTGACATATGGCAGCAGCACTTGTTGGGGTCCAACATATTGTGTGTTGACTAGGGAGAGGGTGCGGCCTTGGCTACCTACACAAAACAACAACGACGTAACCCATTATTCGTCCCAAGGCAATTATAGAGAATGATTTTGCATAATTCCTTGAAGGTTCTCCTAGCCACTTTCATTGCTCAACATTATTCACCCACTCTTGTAGTGATTGACTGTGGCCCACTAGAGCCTCCAGCAAACGGAGTGGTACAGTTTGAAAGAACCGTATTTGGCTCTGTTGCTCAGTACCAGTGTAACAGAGGATTCAGGCTCCAGGGTAGTGATGTACGGACTTGCCAGGCAAACTCCCAGTGGTCTGGAAGACAGCCCGTCTGCATAGGTTGGTCTTACTTACAGCTTTTTATATCATCGCATTGGTGGGTTAGGTCCTAATAGTAGAGGTTTGTCTTTAAAAGAACCTGCTACTGTGAGATTCTAACCTCCTGCTGTGGTTGATGGTTGCGCCTCATTCAGTATCCATGCTTTCCACTAGCCATAGAGTGTCCTCAACTGAGAGATATCCCTGGAGGTTCAGTGATTGTGAGAAGCAGGACAGTGGGCTCCACAGCCACCTACAGATGCAACGCAGGCTACACCCTAGTTGGAAATACACAGAGAACCTGTCGTGCAAATGGACGGTGGTCTGGAGAAGAACCCATTTGTGAAGGTAGCTACACCAAACAGTTAGCCTATGAACAGAAAAACTTTAAACAAATTCGGATTTTTCAGGCATTGAGTGTCCAGAGTTGAGTGCTCCAGCCAACGGGAGAGTGGATGTGTCTGGACTGAGACCTGGATCTCGGGCTCTCTATTCCTGCAATCCTGGATACCGTCTCAGTGGGTCTGAGAGGAGAACATGTCAGAACAGCGGACAATGGAGCAACCGGGAACCCTCTTGCACTGGTGAGAACTTCAAACTATTGAGAAGATTGAAGCAAAGCATGGCATTGATTGTGTTCTTGTGTTCCAGCTATCATCTGTCCTGATCTGGAAGACCCTGAAAACGGAGCTGTTAGGGTATCAGGCAACACTCCGTCCTCTACCGCCACATATATCTGTGACAGAGGCTTCACTCTAGATGGTCCTCAGACCAGAACTTGTCAGTCCGATGGACAATGGAGCCAGCGTCCTCCAGTCTGCACAGGTATATACATACGTACACCAATCCTTTGAACCTCTACTGACTCACTGAGTGTTGTTTTGTTTCTATCAGCCATTCAGTGCCCAAACCTGGGTCCTCCTGCAAATGGGCAGGTGGACATCTCCGGATTGAGAGTTGGATCTCAGGCCACTTACAGATGCAACACTGGGTTCACTCTAGTTGGAAATACACAGAGGACCTGTCGTGCAAATGGACAGTGGTCTGGGGAAGAACCCATTTGTGAAGGTACACAAAACTCAACCTGTGAACGGAGCGACTTTAACAGATTGACTGATTTCAGGCATTGAGTGTCCAGAGTTGAGTGCTCCAGCCAACGGGAGAGTGGATGTGTCTGGACTGAGACCTGAATCTCAGGCTCTCTATTCCTGCAACCCTGGATACCGTCTCAGTGGGTCTGAGAGGAGAACATGTCAGAACAGCGGACAATGGAGCAACCGGGAACCCTCTTGCATCTGTAAGCCAAGCCATCAATCTCTACTTTATGTGTGTACATCCACTGGTTCCCAATACAGCCATCCAGTGTTCTGAGCTAACTGATCCAGTCAATGGCAGTGTGTCAGTGTCAGACAGGACTCCAGGATCCGTGGCCAGCTATTCCTGCCGCCCTGGCTTCGTTTTAGAGGGAGTGACTCTCAGAACTTGCCAGACTACTGGAGTATGGAGTTTCGAGGCTCCCGTTTGTGTTGGTGAGTCAATGGAAAACTCATCTAGTAGCTACACACATTTCCCAACAAAAATCAGATTTTGTTTCCTGATTTCTACTTCATACATTCTTACTTGTGGTGCTCTCTATATTTGTGCGTACAGAGGAAAGATGCCCACAGCTCCAAGACCCCGTCAATGGAGAGGTGATCATCACGGGTGACACACCTTCCTCCACTGCCACCTACTTCTGCAACAGTGGCTACGAGCTGAAGGGAGCGAAGATCAGGACCTGCCAGATTAATGGAGAGTGGAGTGGCACTGACCCAGTCTGCATTGGTACGATACGTTTTAACTGAATCACTGTCGTTTCAAACTGCTTGTGTGGATTACCAGGGTTGTTTGTGTTTCTTCTGTAGAATCATTCTGTCCTGCTTTGTCGCCTCCACAAAATGGGCGAGTGTCAGTCATAGCTCAAACAGTGGATTCAATAGCAATCTACAGCTGTAACGAGGGCTTCTCGCTAGAAGGAGAAGCGACTCGCACGTGTATTGACATTGGAGAAGGACTGGTAATCTGGACCGGACAAGAACCAACCTGTGTCCGTAAGTCAGCATACTCTCCTCCAGACCCCAATCCCTAAATTTGCTGGAATAAATACCTGCATTGTATTTTCCACCGCAGCTATCAGATGCCCCAGGCTCCCAGCTCCAGCCAATGGGAGAGTGGTGGCTCCGGTTCGCACCGTCGGGTCGCAGGCTTCTTACTCTTGCAGCGATGGTTACAGACTCAGTGGAGCGTCGACACGAGTCTGCCAGAGCAACTCCGAGTGGAGCGGACAGGAACCAAGATGTGTCCGTGAGTAGTAAACACACTTACTAGTACTGAGAGAGTGGCTTCCCTAGCTGGGAAAGGTCTTGGCAGGCAGTCTGAAGGATTGTACCATTTTTCAGCTCGGAAATATAGTTAGTGGTCAGGACAGTGCATAGAATGAACCTATACACTCTGTTAGAGAGTAGTCAGGCTTGCTTGGGTCTTATGGGAGGCCGTGTTAGAAGTTCACGATGCTTTTCGCACAGTTGTTGACTGTGGAAGATTGGCAGACATACCGAGAGGGAGGGTCGAAGTGACAACCACCACATTTCTTTCAACTGCCACCTACGTCTGTGACTCCGGATTCTCCATTGAGGGGACATCTGTTCGTACCTGCCTTGCTACGGGGGTGTGGTCTGGACGAGAGCCTACCTGTACACGTGAGTCCAACTACCATAAGTAAAAGTGCTTCACACCAAGCATATTACTATTGAGGGGTAATTAATTGCATTGTCGATGTAAAACTTTGCAGCATCAACTTGTGGATCACTCGACAACCCGAGTAATGGGCAGGTCACCATTGCTGGAACCGGCATCGGTGCCACGGCAACCTACAGCTGTAACACTGGTTACATATTCAGGGGTGTGGTCTCCAGAGTATGTCAGGCCAACGGGCAATGGTCTGGCTCTGCACCAACTTGTGAAGGTATGTCTCATTCTCAACTGCAAACACTCACTGACAGTATAAAAGCCAAAACCGATCTTTCTTTTAAAATTACACATTTTGGAACTAAACTGAGATGTAGTTGAGCAAGACAATATTGTTCCTTTGTACAGTTGTCACATGCTCTGATCTACCGGCACCAACCAATGGAGATGTTCAGGTAACTGGTTTCGAATTCACCAGCACTGCCACCTACGTCTGTGACAGCGGCTACGTTCTGGTCGGAGGGGATACGAGAACTTGTCAGGCAGATGGCTCCTGGTCCGGCATTCCGCCATTCTGCCAAGGTATGATGAGAATGTGCTAGTCGAATACACTCACTGCGAATGTTGGTACCAAGTTAAGTTATAGCGTAGTCTGATACAATACCCACTTGAAATACTGGTACACAGTTGCTTTAGTATAGTTGTTGGAACCTGGACTTGTTTGAATGTTGGCGACTGAACTTGCTCCAGTGAGCTGTATGCCTTGTCTTTTTCCTGCAGTGGTACAGTGCGAGGTTCTGGAGTTCCCCGACAACGGTCAGGTGATCCAGATTGGCAACAGGGTCGGTGCCACTGCCACCTACTCTTGTTTCCCTGGTTACCTCCTCGAGGGAGAGGAGCTGAGAATCTGTCAGAAGAGTGCAGAGTGGACTGGAACTCCGCCCACCTGCAGACGTAAGTAACTGAGACACCAGGCGTAAAAGTCAATAGAGATCTCTAAGGAGACCCCTGGAATGTAGACATCTCTCTAATAGGACACTTTCCTTTCAGTGTATAACTGCTAACATAAGGACATTTCACTGTCTTTGGTATCTGGATTAGAGGGATTCCACTGTATTGCTTTCTCCCTCTTTTCTTGCAGCGGTTGATTGCGGAAGACTACCGGACATTGCATTTGGATCAGTCACCATACTAACCACGACAGTTGGATCCCAGGCATCATATTCTTGTCGTCAGGGCTATGTACTGATGGGAGCGTCCATCAGAACTTGCCAGGTCGACGGAATTTGGTCAGGAGAGGAGCCTACTTGTCAAAGTAAGCACTGAAAAATCTTGCAAATCAAACGAAAAGCACTAAAGTGCAAACCCTCGGCACACTATATAGAAATGTGGAACCCATACACAAGTGTGGCACCACCACAATTGATGGTCAAGAACAGCATGGATTATTTCAAAAAATGGCAGGCCCTACCTACCTATTTCTGTTCGAGGGTAAAAAAAATATTAGGTTGAAGTATTACCCGTGGATTGTTTAGTGCAAAAAAAAACACAAATCTAAGGTTGAAAAAAAACGGCCAGCCCTCCATCTCTCCAGACAGACGTCTACGGACGCAGTGCTATGCCGAACTGTACGCTGCCCTTTGAGAAACATGGGTCAGTGGTAGATTTGTGTGGGTAAGGGGAGGAACCAGAGCTGTTCCCAGCCAATGCTCTGGACCACCTGACACTTTCAGTGCGGGATCGGGATACGAACCCCGCACCTATGGTGTCAGTCCCCACGACTCTAACCACCTAGCCACTCAGGCTGGCCTGGAGAGGTGATGAAAAAACGTTCCATATATACCAACACTCCTATTACATCATTGTAAAAAAGGCGTACACACGTACCCGGGATCGAAAACCAGGGACCTCACGATCAAGAGAGGGGGTGCTTATCCGTCAGACCACCACCATTACTTGAATGGGAACAGTGTAAATGAAGCACTAAAGTGCAAACCCTCGGCGAACTGCGCATGATGTACTCCCGCTAGTAGCTAGCTCGCGGAGAGTCTTACACGGGCTAGCTGCAGTAGTAGATAGCATGCGGTAGTCGATACACGCTCTTCGTTGTGACTTCATGTGCCTTCAAGATACACAGAGCCAGCGGACCCGGTGTCACAGTATATTTTATCCCCCGTGTATTTTATCCGGGGGGATAGTATATTCTATCCGGCCGGATAGAATACTCTTAGTGTGGAATATCCGGGGTCCGGATATTTTATCCCTCTAATAAGAAAAGTTTCTGCGCATACGGTTGCGCATCTAAACGCGCGGGACCATTTTGTTGCCGCCGTCGCTGCTCATACCGAGTTGAATCTGCACGACTGCACTCTCTTTCTCTTCGAGACACAGCGGTTGCGCGGGTCTGCTCGCCTTCACCTGCGAACCTGAGCCCCACGCTCGCTGGGATATCCGGTAGTGTTCTACAGTCCGCTGGTGTAACTCCAAACAAGGCTGTCATCGCATTCTGTAACGTTGAAATCCCCCACAGAACCTCAAAACAACACACCCCGCCTGCGTTTAGACACTCCTAATAACGCACAGCACGGGGTATAAAATATCCCGGGTGCGGATAGAATATCCTAGGAAAATTTATCCGGGGGGATAGAATATCCTATCCGGCCGGATAAAAATTCGGGGGGATGAAATGTACCGCGACACCGGTCGAGGTAAGCCTGTGCTAATTAGCATATTGGCTTGTTCACTTGCTTTTCACGCAACGCAGTATTTTTCATTTTTAAAATGAAGCCAGTGTATCGCTGAACCTGTTGGTGTCGCTTTTTGGCCGGTTTGTTGCGCGTGGTGGCAGAAAACGTGGTAACAGACACACACACAGACAGAGAGACAGACACACACACTACTATATACTGTAACCCTCGCTGCGCATGCGCGCCGAGGGTTAACAACACTATAATATATAATCAATGTTTGCTCCACAGTCTTTACTTGTAGCTCTCTGGATGATCCGGACAATGGTCAAGTTTTCACTACCGGATTCGAAGTTGGTGACACTGCCACTTACATTTGTGTCGACGGCTACTCACTACAAGGAGAAGAGATGAGAGAGTGTCACAGCAATGGAGAATGGTCCGGTTTTGCCCCTTTCTGCGTTGGTGAGCCACCACCCTCCATTTATCATATACGTCATCTTTACTGTTTCTCTTTGGTTTGTTTTGTCAATAGGAAACGTATGTCCTCTACTGGTAGCTCCGGATAATGGCCAAGTGTTTGTTCGGGGAGTGACCGTAGGGTCCACGGCACGCTACTCTTGCCAGCAAGGTTTCGTTCTGCGAGGTGCGGCAGACAGGACCTGCCTCTCGCAGGGGACTTGGAGTGGCAGAGAGCCGGTGTGCCAAGCCGTGAACTGCCCCGATCTTCCAGACCCAGCCAACGGAGAGGTCACCCTCTCTGGAATCACATTTGACTCCACGGCAACTTACAGGTCAACATCCACCTCATCTCAATCATTTTCTCGACATTGACTTTTTACAATACCGCATTTCCTTGTCTCGTCTCTCGTCTAGGTGTGTGGTCGGGTTTGGACTTGTTGGAGTCAGTGTTAGATATTGTCAGGCAGACAGCACGTGGTCTGGACAGGCTCCAACTTGCCAGAGTAAGATTCACCTCTTCCCTTCATCTCCTCGTTGACCCTGCACTGTTCAATACACTCCATTTCTCAGTTTCGATGTGCAGCAACCTTGAGCCGCCGCAGAATGGCAACATCGTGACAACTAGCACCCAGTTCGGAGGTAAGGCAACATACTCTTGCACAGAAGGCTATCAGCTGGAGGGCGATGAAGTTAGAACCTGCCAGGCCAACGGATTCTGGAGTGGATCTGCCCCATTCTGCAGCAGTAAGCCTAACCTGCACAAAACCCTCCATCGAACCTTCATTACCTTTCGTCACCATCCTTAGTTGTGAACTGTGGTTTTCTGGATCCTCCGAAGGACGGTCGTGTTAGCTTCACAAGTACCTCTTTCGGAGCTGTGGCTGCATACGTTTGCTTCCCTGGGTATCGTCTCGAGGGAGTCGAAGAGAGAACATGCCAAGCTGACGGACAATGGTCTGATCAAGAGCCTTCCTGTCGAAGTGAGCACAGATTAGCCACTTTCATTAGTTTTTTTCCATTTCTATTTTCATATCCCCCGTGTGAATGATCAACTCTTCTCTTAACGAAGGAATTGACTGCGGTCTTTTGGAGATTCCAAAGAATGGAGACATATCGTTCAGTCAGGGAACCTTTTTCCGATCCGTGGCGACGTACAACTGTGACGCTCCGTTTCAACTGGTTGGCTCTGTAACTAGAGTCTGTCAGAGCAACATGGAGTGGTCTGGGGAGGCACCTGTCTGCGAGTGTAAGCAGTCCGACATATGTTTGTGCTGCATAGATAGTTAGAGTCCATTTTCTCAGCAAGAAAGAGAGAAAAAACCAAGCATCTTTGGTTTCTTCAAGCTTGCTTAGTTTCGAGGGCACTCAACATGAATGATAATTGGGCTTTACTTCTGTTGTGTTCATTACAGCTATTGAGTGTGAAGATCTGCAGAGCCCAGAAAATGGTCTTGTGATAGTCCCCAGTCGACTACCCGGCAGTACAGCCACCTACTCGTGCAACACTAGCTTCAACCTGATTGGGAGCCAGACTCGCTCCTGCCTCAACAACGGCTTCTGGAGTGGAGTTGTTCCCATATGCCAAGGTTAATAATACATGGGTCCACATACTATACAGCTCCATCTAGTGGATTCTCATTACAAACGGTTGAAACCCCAGAATGACTTAATTATGGGCACTTGTGATACAGTTTGTGTCCAGTAAAATGAGCTTTCCCTACTATGTGGGGGTCAATGTGGAGCAGATAGTCCAACATGTATGTGTACTTGCCAAGAGTTGATGTGGTGGTTGTGGAGTATCTTGAAGTTTGAGTCAATGTGCACCATCTGTACTTTATGCAGCTGCTGACTGTGGTCCATTGAAACCTCCGAGAAATGGAGATGTCGAGGTTACGGGCACCACCATTGGCTCAATCGCCAGCTATGAATGTTTCGAGGGATATTACCTGGAGGGAGATGAAATTCGGACTTGCGTCGATGGAGGAATTTGGACCGGAAACGACCCTACTTGCAGTCGTAAGTCTTGCACTACAACTGTACTATTCTAAACGTTAAACGTTAATCGTATAATTACACGGAATACTAAATCACTTAAATTTCATTGCAGCGATTGATTGCGGAATACTTGAGGACATTTTCAATGGTTTTGTGGAGTTTGATTCCACACTGTTCGGATCAATTGCCTCCTACACTTGCAGAGACGGATTTGTATTGATGGGAAAGGGCATCAGACAATGTATAGAGAGTGGCCAGTGGAGTGGCGATGAACCTGTTTGCCAAGGTTTGAAACCTCATTTATGGACAAGTTTTAAACTTGCGCATTATTGGTATGCAGAGGTGAACTGTGGCCAGTTAGGGAGACCAGAGAACGGACAGATTCTCATTTCGGGGACATCGTTTGGTTTCACGGCGACGTACAACTGCAACGACGGATACATCATCGCCAGAGGATCGCAGTCCCGAATCTGTCAGATCACTGGAGAGTGGTCTGGTGAAGAACCAGTCTGCGTTGGTAAGCTAGCCACCTACACTAGTGTTTCTTTCTACTCGCTGAGCCAAGTACATATTGAAAATCTCCCCTACTACTTGAGCTTACTAGCAAAGTAGCCTTAAGTAGCCTTATGTAATGGGCATACTAGAGCTTTTGTAAGCTCAATATGAAAACCCCTACAGAGATTGAAACAATTTTTGTACTACAATGCGAAGAAAATTTGACGCAGTGGGCATCAAATGTTTGCATGTATACTCCCACAGCTAATCAGTGTCCAGATCTGACAAATCCAGCCAACGGACGAGTGATCGTGAACGGCAGGGACTATCTCGACACTGCTGAATACGAATGCAACCATGGCTACATACTGTCTGGAGGCAGAGTACGGAGATGTGGACTAAATGGCATATGGGGCGGAGAGGCACCCACATGCATACGTAAGTATTATAAGAGAAACTGGCAACGGAAAAATTTTGACGATTTCTTCTGGCAATAGAAATATTTTGACGATTTCTTGATTATGTAGGGCCTCCACCTTCAGAGATTGACTGTGGACAGCCACCCTTCTTACCGAATGGGCAGTTCACCCTCTCAACGGGCACCATTGGAGGGTCGCGTGCCACCTACACTTGCTTCAGAGGCTACAGGATCGTGGGGAGCACAACTCGCACGTGTCTCGCCACTGGGCAGTGGTCTCGGGAATCTATCAGCTGCAGAAGTGAGAAGAAACCCTGCACGTCCATTTTTTACGAACAAAGTTATTAGCTTAAAGCACAGCATGACTGAAAAGCCTCCTTGCTGTACCAAAGACCGTGACTTAAGAACATAATTATTATAATAACCTCATGGACCTCTTCTTCACATCAATAATGCATGATCCTAGCATGAGTACTTGCCGTATTCTTATCTAATGCAAAAATGCACATCCTCCTTGCAGTCATCGATTGTGGCATTCTCCCTCCCATCCCCAACGGTGGAGTCACAACCACTGGGACTGAGATTGATGCCCAGGCAACTTACAGCTGCAACGGAGGGTTTGTATTGCAGGGGGTAGAGATACGAATCTGCCAGGGGAACGGCCTTTGGTCAGTCGAGGCTCCTTCTTGCATCCCAAGACAAGGTATATAGATAGTCTACACTCGGCTGCAATCTTGAGAACTCAGTGTTAATGCATGTCTTTTTCTCTTCTTTTCAGTGTTCACTTGTGTAGAGCTGGAGGCTCCAGAAAACGGCGAGGTATCGGTGTCAGGGTTAACCGTGGGCTCTGTGGCAAGCTACCGCTGCAACAATGGCTTCATTCTGGTTGGAACTACCTCCAGAAGATGCCACGAAGGGGCCCGTGGTGGATGGACAGGAAACGCTCCAACCTGCCAACGTATGTAACAGATAGTACAAACCACTAGCTGACCATTATTCCGCACTGCATACATAATATCAAACGAACAGGCTTATAAACTGGGTGTAGTGCTTTGACATGTCTCAGAAGTATGTACAATGTGTGTTACAGTGCTTCGAAATGACTCTATGGAACTGTGTGTGTGTGTGTGTGTGTGCAGGTGTTGACTGTGGTCTGCTAGAGCCACCGCAGAACGGTCAGGTAATGGTGATGGGTACAACGCTCGGCTCACGGGCCATGTACACCTGTAACTCTGGCTACGTTCTTCTCGGCTCCGTCACCAGGAGATGTGAGGCTGACGGCACATGGTCCGGTTCCGAACCCACTTGCTCAGGTACGGAATGAAACCCAACAAGCCGCAGCAGGAAAATTTGAGGGAGTGGTTTGGTAGCAAATGTGGGAGAAAACTGCCACAGATTGGTACATAGTGTTGCTACGCAAAATGTGTTCACAACGTGAAATCCGTGAGACGTTGTTTTCTCACTATGGTACCTGCTCCAAGTTCAAACATTCATAAGCCCATCTCATGACAGCTATCAAACATATATGAGCTTTTCAGTCCAATTGCGATTGTTCTCTGCAGCTGTAGAGTGTGGCGGCCTTCCTGATCCTCTCAATGGGTACGTTGTGCTCACTGACGTCATCCTGGGCTCGGTGGCAACCTATAACTGTCAGACTGGCTTCTCCCTCGTGGGGTCTGCCACCAGAGAGTGCGCTCGCAGCGGACGTTGGACCGGCGTACCTCCAACCTGCGAGAGTAAGAACATTTCTGCCCCCCACCCCTCAATTACATGTAGCAATTTTTACATTCTACTATTGGCCAAGCTTATTGGTGAAGAATCACAGAATAGTAGTGAGCTAGGCACATTAGCTCCTTCACAGTTTTATCTATCGGTTTGTACTTGGCACACGATGACTTCTTTTGGAGTAGAGGCATGTTAGCTCCTTCATTTTTTGTCTGCTTCATCTCCAGGCACTACCCCCAACGGCTGTGGTGACCCCGGCACCCCTGAATCTGGGACTCTGATAGGAGATGATTTCAGAGTGGGGGCAACAGTCTATTACGAGTGCGACAGTGGATACGAGCTGGTTGGTCCCGGATCCAGGCAGTGCGAGTCGTCTGGAACGTGGACCGGACAAGTGCCGCAGTGCATCATACGGAGCCAGAGTGAGTGTTGGTGTGGTATACACTGCAACTTGTGAATAAAGGACACTTGGGTACTTCGAAAGTGTTCTTTTATTCAGAGGTGTCCCATAATCAGAAGTTATGTGCAGAAGCAATAGAGAGGTGCCCTATAATTATGCAGGATCCTTGTTTGGAGGTTCCACTGTGTACAGAATCGAGGAGTTTGTGTCAACGCTATTTGTTTTTTTCTCCCCAGCTTGTCGAGATGGAGCTACTGTCTATGACTCGTGCCAGAGAAGGTGTACATGCAGGGGAGGTGTTCTTGTCAACTGCTGCCGCGTTCGACGTGATTTCGCCTCTCTCTCTGTGGCTGATCGACAGCGCTACATCCAGACTGTCATCACAGTAGCAACTGACACACAGTACAGGGCCAAGTACGAGGCTCTAGTGAATCAGTACTCTGCCTCAGTTTCAACACTGGCTCAGAGTACAGACCCAACAGTCGGCCAGTTCTTCCCGTGGAACCGATTCTTCTTGCTTCAGTACGAAGACCTCCTTCAAGAGGTGGACTGTCGCGTCACCATTCCGTACTGGGATTGGACTGCGGTTCCCATGACCCCATACATGACACCGGTATGGAACCCGGACAGTGGATTCGGAGACTTGGCAAGGGCAAAGGATGGCTGCGTCGAAAACGGGCCTTTCAGGTTCGACCGGTTTGAGATTGTCGGGGGAGGGTGTCTGCAGAGAGAGTATCGCATGCAGATGTTCCCAAGTCGAGCCATCATCGAGCAAGACCTACTGACCCTACCAGCGGAAGATTTCACACAGTTCCACCAGTTTCTCCAAGTTTTCATTCACGTCAACGTTCGTTGTTTCGTCGGCGGACAGATGTGCTCTGACGAACCGGCAAACGATCCCGCCTACATCCTCCATTTGGCCCAGATTGACTCCATCTTTTCCCGCTGGCAGGCTATCGACTCGCAACGAGCGTCGATCTACCTCGACGACAATCGCGAACTGGAGCTCTCGGGCGGAAATATCGTGTCTGATTACGGGGACATTAGCAATTTACCCGGAGATGACAGCGTTTGCTATGAACCTGCAGAATTCAAGACGCACGTCCCACAGAGCATGCAGTTCATGCTGAAGACACTCGAGGAGATGACAAACAATTCTGAGCTACGCATGACGTGTGTGACCGACGAACAGATGGAGGACGTGCACATGTCACAGGCGGCCGTTGATTTCATGCACAGCGAGTGTTGAGAAACTGATCCACACTAAGCTGAGGGGATTAATCACAGCAGTTACATAGATAGTGTAGATTTAACGCTATAAGACCTTGCTTGTCATGTTATTTGTAAGGTGACAAACTTGTGACAGGATTATGAAATGCATATCAATATTTAATGCATACAATTTAAAATAAAACGCAGGCACTCGTTAACTACAATGGGATTAAAAACACAAAACCTACATTAAATATTTATGGCATTTTGGTTGGTTTGTCTGCGGACTGTTGTGTTAGTGGAGTTCCTCCATTCGGACCAGACATTACATCAAGTAGTGGTCTCATCTGAGCCCCGAATGGACTAGAGAAAAAGATAGAATAAATCCACCTATAGATTTGTACTACATATACTCTAAAAATTGAGAGCTCACGTATCAAGGATTTCCTTAGGAAGCCCGGTGATGTAGGAAGGTATGGGTTTCCCAGTTAAAAACTGCGATACATCGTTGGTAAAGTTGTTGCAGTTGTGCTCCAGAAGATCGTATTTCTCAGGCCTAATACACATTAAAGTCCAGGAGAGTGAAAAATGAGAACAGTTTGTAGACTTTTGCGGAATAATGGAACATATACATAATTTAATAGCTCATGTACAGTAGGTGCCTTGGTTTCTCGGGGTAATATACAGCAGGTAACTTTCGAGGGAGAAAATTGGTTATCTCAATTTGCTCATCTCAATTTGCTCGGCACTCCAGTTTGAAACTCGACTTACAAATATTCCGACGAGAGCTCGAAAAGGTAGTCCATAAACACGTCCTTTGGAACGTGTGTCTCTCCCAAGTCAACTACTTTTGTGGGGCTACCAATCACCGTGCAACCCTAAAGAATACAGCAAGAATGGTAAGTTTTTATACTGCCACCAAACAGGGCCAAATTACAGGGTTGCAGAATTCGATACCCATTCCACCAAAGAAGTACTCCAGTCCATACACCACTATGCCTGTGTGCCTAAGATACGACATTATACACTCAGTAACACAGGTTCAGTTTTCCCTCACCAAACGCCATCAATTTGCTTCCCTGTGTAAGAAATTGACCGACAATAATATTGGATGCGAGTGTATCAACTTGCCTAGAAAGGCTGGAGAAAGCTGGGCAGCTAAACCTCGGCTGAGATCATAGATATTCAGCTGGATCCCACTGCTACCCGTACCCGGTCCAGTTGCCATCTCTCCTCAATGCATACACTCAGCAGCGCTACGCAGAGGTCAAAGTGCATTTAACAATCCCGCCCATAAATGTTATGCGCATGCGCAATTAACAAACAAATCTAGGGGGTGTGGCACTACCAATTAGATTACAACGCCCGCGGCTTTGTGGCCAGCTTGCATACTCTGATTGCAGCTAGAGCTAGGAGAGTGTTGAGAACAAGCCAGAGTCGAGAAGGGGAAGGGGAGCTTTTAGAGCGGCAGGCATGAGTTTCCCGGGGGAGAGATCGGGGATGACTGCGGCCTCGACGAACCAATGGTTCCACAAAAACATCGGGAGGATGGAGACGGAGAAGCTTCTCGTGGAGAACACAGAGGATGGATCGTTTCTCATCCGCAAGAGCGACAACGTCAAGGGAGCCTACGTCCTCTCCACCATGTGAGAACACCGCACAACTAATCCCTCTCTCTCCGCTAATTATTGGTCATGCATGAATTTTTCCAGCGTTATTTGGGCTATTTTCCCCAATTAGCGTTGTTTTTACACGGTATGCTTGTACCTGTACTGTCCTGGTGCCTTTGGGCACAGTGCAGAAAAGAGAAAAACGCTCCCTTAAAAAAGCTACTGGTGGAGATAGAGAGGGAATGGAGTATTGTATGGCTGTGCGCCGGGAAAGGGCAGACTTCTGCCCCTGTTTGTATATGGGTTACAATGTATGGGGTACAATGTATGGGAACGCACATATGCTGCTTCAACATACATATACATGCATCAGCGGACACCCCACTTGAGCTAGGGTACTCTTTGGAGGTGTTTTCCGATTTGTTTTAGAACTGAAAGCGTTCTTGAAACATCTGCTGTATTCTGCCCTTAACACATCGTAACAAACACACACACCCAGGGCCGTCAGCGTCAAAGTACAGTGTAATGGGTGCAATTGTTCTCATTTGCATCTCTCGTATTTCAATCTTGTGGTTTCAGTGGTACGGCCACATCAGCCATATTAGTGTACATTTCAATGTAAAACACGTGTTATGAACACTATATCGTTTTACGCTGCGCAACATCATTTCATGTCCATTATCTACATGCATGCTACACGTGTCTCTACAAAAGCAGCTGTGTGGGTCTTTTAACTTTAATGCTTTCGCTAACACATCCTCTCTAAGTGACCGGTAATGGTATGGTATATGCGCTAAAGTTGTGAGGTCCCCAAGGAAATATGTGGCGGGGCACCTGCTGTTGTTTTTTGTAAAGCATGTATACAGTTGGGACCTGAAAGCTAACAGTGTGGGATTTGAAGAATTTCCGTCACACTTTGCATACTCCCTCTCTTTTCCTTCCTCGCTCACCATGCCTCTTTCCTTCCGTTTTCCCTCTCTGACTCCCTCCATACAGCTATCAACAACGTATACACCACTATAGGATCATACCCACTGAAGACGGGCTGTTGTCTGTTCAGGTAAACTGTAGCGAAAATTTTACAGAGTGGCAGAGAAAATATTTACCCCCTTGATCAGTGGAGCCCCCTCTAAGGACACCTTTGAAATAAGGACACCTCACTAATATGGACACCTTCTTTTTCCTATTGGTGTCTGGATTAGAGGGCATGGGATGGCAGAACAGTAGCTGTGAAAATTTTACAGAGTCTTGTAAATTTTTTCTGGGCAGGCACAAGAAGGTGTTGAGAAGCGGCCGTTTCGTTCTCTGGAGGACCTTGTTGATTACTACAGTCACAGGGGGCGTGGCCTCGTGTGTCCACTGGTCCGGCCCATCGCTCAGACCAATGAGGACGAGGAGCCACCTGACTCAGGTGACATGTCATGTGACTATCATGCGACACAATGCCATAATTATGCAGTATGGTGGTGTTTTTTTTGGTTGCGATTGCTATTTTTGTGAGCTCAATGCAAGTGTATAACTCAAGACATATTCATAGTGTTAACACATGATAGTCATGTGATTGATTGCCTGTGTCAGATGACGAACATGAGCTGGACGACGGTAACAGAGAGGAGAAGATTGTGTCCAAGTTTTTGCTGGCCTCTCTCTCAACCCTCACCCTCAACATGTGAGACATTAGAGGAGTTTTGTGCATAGTTGCTCAATGGTAGATATGGAGAAAGGGGGCTAAAGAGTCATGCAGAATACTGTTACTATTCCCCTCTCTCCCCTTTCTCCCTCTGTGCACAGCGTAGTTGCTCAATGGTAGATATGGAGAAAGGGGGCTAAAGAGTCATGCAGAATACTGTTACTATTCCCCTCTCTCCCCTTTCTCCCTCTCTCTTCCTTTTCCTTCTCTAGTGATAGTGACGATGGTTTCATAGACAGACTGAAAGCCTACCTGACTGGTGACATATCGGTCGACATACAGAGCATGGTCAGTCCTGCCCCACAGCTCACCCACCTCAAACTACTGCTGAAGGAAGACTGCGAAATCATTCATAAGTAAGTCAACCAACTTTCTTCACTCAACTAAACGCACAATTTAGAATGCAACTGCACAATAAAACTACCACAGTAGCACGGCATTGACTACCATGTGCATATCTTGTTAACACACACACACACACACACACACACACACACACGCGCGCACAGGGGACTAGACCGTCTGATGGAGAGAGTCGACCTCTTACAGTCTCTATTCGAGAGAGCCGGTGGGGCGAAGGAAGTCGGGAAAAGATCCTCCCTCTCTAGAAGAAGACGCTCTCGGGCCGGGGTGAGTGACAAGTGCAGAACCATGCAGACTGTCATTCACATGTATACTGAGGTGTCCTTTAGTCATAAATGCATAGGTTTCACATTTTGCGTGGAGTAAGATTAAGACAAACATTTTCGCATTTCGTTTTTTTAGGAGACAGATTTCGACTCGCTGAGTTTGAAACTGAGGGAATGCTCGGAGTCTGTACAGAGCCTTGAAACGACAGTAAGTCGGTCCTCCTTCCCCTCCTCTCTTTCTTCTCTCTCCCCTCGTTACTTGAGTATGTACAGTGGAACCCTCTGATAAGGGAAACTTTTTTCAACCCCATGCTAATACTTTAGTGGCCTCTCAGCTACCTCTCTACAAGGGACAAAATCGTTGGCCCCATAGTGTCCCTTGTTCGGAGCACTGTAGAGCCGACTTGTGAGCATGCTCAGTATCAGAGTGTGTAGTGCGCATGACTGAAGTGACACATTCCTCTATGCTGCAATGGTTGCTATACCTCCTCTCTCTCTCTCAGTCGTTCCAGATGCTGCGAGAGTTGAGTGCCGGTATAACCGGTCAGTCTAGACCTGCCGGCTCCCTCGGGCAGGTGGCTCCTCTAGTAGGTGGCCCGCCTAACAACACACCTAGCAACGGGGAACAAGAAGACGAAGAAGAAGAAGTAGAAGTAATGTTTGAGACAAAGACTGAAGGGCTCGGCCACGGCAGAAAGTACAACATCGCCGTGAACCTTGCCGAGGGAAAACTCACCTTCAAGAAGCACGGTATGATGTCATTGGGGATTACATCGTTGTTTGGGATTGCGTCGTTGTGATGTAATGGTGCGTCTGTAGTTCGAGTGTGCCTGTTTGGAGGTAATGAAGTGAAACACACGAACTTTGCACGTTACTGTATTAGTAATTTGGTGTGTAATTTGTAACGTTTGTTCAGCGGCAAACGAAACTCATTAGTCGACATTTTAAGTTTGTTTTGTTCTTCTGTGTGTGGTCTACGTTCGTCTCTCCTGTCTATCTTCTCCATTTTTTGCCTCTCTTTCCTTCTCTCCCTCCTTCTCTACCTCGTGCTCTAACTCTCCTTTCTTTGCCCCTCTCCTTACCTCCTCTTTCTTTCCGTCTCCCCCTCACATTTCTCTCTCCCTCCTCTCTCCCTCTCCCTCCTCTCTCCTTCCTCTCTCTCTCTCTCCTCTCCCTCCTCTCTCCCTCTCCCTTTTCCCTCCCTCTCCCTCCTCTCTCTCTTTTCCCTCCTCTCCCTCCTCTCCCTCCTCTCTCCCTCAATCGTCAGGAGAAAGCAACAGTTCATCCTACAGTCATCAACAGGTTCTGCAGCTGATAAAGAGCAGGTCTAAGGAACAGAGACTAGGCATTCTGCTGGCCGGACAGAACAGAAAAGACCACAACTTTATTAACATGCAGGTATACACAAGAGTAAAGTATACAGGTACATAGGTAGCCTTATTCCCAAGCACTTTACTACATATCCGTTGTTATTGGCGAGTGAACAAGCCAACCAGGTCGTGTCAATGGGCTGATTTTCTATCTGGCGATGCCGCACATACCGTAATGTTGTGCGTGATTCTAAATCAGTGACAACCACCGAGCGTGAAATATTGAACTGCTAGAGCTCGCTCGCCAACAATGCACTATTTTAGTATGAGAAAGAGAAAGAGAAGAGGAGTAAGATACTGGGTGTGTGCACTCTCCAGGCAAGGGAGCAGTTCTGTCAGCTGATTCAGCTGATCCGGAACCGAATGAAGGCGGGAACGGGAATGGACCAGGACTCCGTCTCTATATTCGTCGGTACTTGGAACATGGGTATGAGAGACACGCCCACTTTCCCCACTCCACCTGTGGTGTCTGTCTCTGTTCCATTCCAGGCGATGCCAGCCCGCCCGGAGACATCTCGTCCTGGTTCCGTTCTGCCGGGAAGGGAAAGACTCTTCCTCACGCACTGGCTCAACCCCACGACATATATGCCATCGGAACGCAGGTATGGGAGTATGGAATCATGACTCTATGGAACAACAGTGGGTATGGGCTTAGGAAACAATCATTGGGATTAACCTGAAACGAATGGGAACACCAGTGTTTGCCCTGGAGTTGAGCTAAGTGCTTAATGCACTGGACTCTTCACTATGCATCACATGGTCTAATACCTTCATGAGGACCTATATAGAAACCTTCTGCCATTAGACTGATTGAGAACCTAAAAACCCGCCGTTCTAGTAATCTAACGGGTAATAGTTTTTATACAGATCCTGCCACTATTGATGCACACATGTTGCTAATGTAGATATCTGTCTCAACAGGAGTGCAATGTGAGCGAGAAAGAATGGCTGTCCAAGATCCGAGGGACACTCAAGATGGTGCACGACATGGACTACGAGAAACTGGCCTCCCAGACTCTGTGGGGGATTCGCCTCGTCATTTTCGTCAAACCGGAACACATCAACAAGATCACCCACGTTCAGGGCTCGCAAGTCCGCACGGGCATTGGCAACGCTCTAGGTGAGGCACGCCGAACTAGTAGAGCACGAATGCGTGAAATATCTCCACCCATATTGACGTAGTAAAACGTGGAGGATTTATCAAAAACTGGACAAAAATTTTGACCTCCCTATGTGTTTTGTTAGATTCAACAACAATATATTACGTGGTTGACATCAAAGTCGCTAAAATTAATACTTATAGTCACAATTTTTTTTATTGGTGTAAAATGTTTTTGATTTTGTGTGTGTCTGTCTGTAGGGAATAAGGGAGGAGTTGGTATAACGTTCTTCTATGGCAGTGTCTCGATGTGCTTCATCAACTGCCACCTCACCTCCGGCAACGAGAAATGCAGCAGGTTCGATCCCAGTTTTTTTTGCCTCAAATTGCAGTAGTTTTGCGGGTCATACGTGTGTATTTTGGCAATTTTGCCGATGTGCTTTGAGACAAATTAATTTTAATGGCTGTAACAGTAATCGTCTGGACTTGTTTGTGTCTTGTACATTCCCATTGATAATACAGGCGCAACCAGAACTACTACGACATTCTGAAGGGCATGGGGGCTCTGAAGCAGCGGAAACTAAACCAGTTTTTCCTGACAAACCAGTTTCACCACCTGTTTTTCTTTGGCGACCTCAACTATCGGGTGGACCTCGGGGCGACGGAAATCGTCGAGTTTGCCAAGAGGGAAAACCACGGGTCCATCTTCAAGGAGGACCAGTTGAGGAAACAGATGGAGCAGAAGAAGATTTTCGTGGGTTTTGGTGAGTTGATTAGTGCATGCGTCGAAAACTAAACCCCTGGATCTTTCTGTCTTCCCTTTTCTCTTCTAGTTATTTTTCTCTTACTTAAACCCTTTAGAAGCCATGGGGATCAGCTTAAATAGGCAGAAATTGATGTATAGTGTATTAGCGCCTAGTATTATAACCCCCATACAAATTCTCATGGACTTATGGAGGCTCTGGACACATTTATGTGTCAGTGGCTGGTTAGGTGTTAAAAGCCCAGCTCCATCTATGATAATAATAAGTATCTCACGTTGGTTCTCTTACTTTTATTATGGAAACCCTAATGCACATTAAAAATGGGGCACTGTGTAGTGGTATATATAGTGCACAGAACCCGTTTGTCCTGTTTATGCCCAGATTAAAGGAGTTCCATTATTAACCTCTTCCTTTCAATTCTAGACGAAGCTCCGATTCTGTTTCCCCCGACCTACCGTTTTGCGAGAGGTCGTCGCTCACTCGACGACTATGTGTGGGTGAAGCAGAAGAGGGCGGGGATAAGATTGAATGTTCCGTCGTACTGCGACAGAGTGCTGTGGTGCTCGTACCCCGGAACCATCATCGCCAACAGTTCTTACGGTCAGACAGAGGGAGGGAGGAGGGAGGGAGGAGGGAGGGAGGGAGAAAGAGGGGGAAATAGAAGAGAGAGGGAGTTTTTAATCATATCTTGTGTGAGACTTGGTGACTCGAAGCGGAAGTATAGCCACCATTTTTTAAAGTTTTAATGGTAGTTTATTGCTATGACATGTTCTGTATAATATATGTAGGTGCATGTACCGATATCATGACTAGTGACCACTCCCCCCTCTTCGCTTCGTTCCAAGTGGGCGGAGTCAAACAGTTTGTCCCCGAACCAGGTATGATTTGCTACACACAGTGTCCGTGGTTACGGTGTATAGTGGGTGTGGTCTCTGACTAATTAGGGCGTGGTCTCGGTAGTGGAGAGAATCAGACGTTTATCATAGTGGACAGCCTCAAAGCCAAGGTGACGTGTGTTACGTTAACTTACAGTGTCTGTGTATGTTGTTTAACCTTTAACCTTCCTTGTGAGTATATATATACTAATGTTTTCGTGGATTCTATATGTACAAGATCTATATGTATGATTCATTTTATGTATATGTACAAAGTGTAAACATTCTCTCTGGTACACACACAGATTCAGACTAGCAGCAAAACGTCCTTCTTCGTAGAAATCTACTCCAACTGTTTCGAAGGTACGTACTATAATTGTACGAATGCACCTTGGGTGAAAGTGGTTTTACTCGGGATTGATATTGAGTTCTGAAACACGATACCAGGGAGGGGTTTGTATAAGGTTAAACGTCTTACCGTGGCGATACCAGGGAGGGGTTTGTGTAGGTTAAACGTCTTACCATGTTGACTTTCCAGCGGTGAAGTCACCCCTGTATAGGTGTAATAGTGTGGTTGGCTGTGTCTGTGTTAACTCGGGATTGATATTGAGTTCTGAAACACGATACCAGGGAGGGGTTTGTATAAGGTTAAACGTCTTACCGTGGCGATACCAGGGAGGGGTTTGTGTAGGTTAAACGTCTTACCATGTTGACTTTCCAGCGGTGAAGTCACCCCTGTATAGGTGTAATAGTGTGGTTGGCTGTGTCTGTGTTAACTCGGGATTGATATTGAGTTCTGAAACACGATACCAGGGAGGGGTTTGTATAAGGTTAAACGTCTCACCGTGTTGACTTTCCAGCGGTGAAGTCACCCCTGCATAGGTGTAATAGTGTGGTTGGCTGTGTCTGTGTCATGCTCGTGATTGTGCGTCCTGTGCAGGTGTCCAGAGGGGCAGTGTGAACGACGAGTGGATCGACACTCAGGCTGGGTACGTCTGGCCCGTCTGGTGTGGCAGAGACCACGTCTTCAAGGTCAGTGAGAGAGAGAGGCAAATTTTGTGTGGGTATTCAAGTTTTTCTCTGGAAAAGGCAAATTTTTCTGCTGAGGATTTAAAAACCCACTTATGCATAGCTTTTTTTAAAACTGATTGTGTTCAAAATTGATGGTTTTCTCACTGCGCGTCCTTTTTTCCAGGTGCCTCCCATAGTGACACAGTTGGAGTATCTGGAGCAGCAGCACATTCTCATTCTCCTCAAATCAACTGAGAGTGACGAATCATATGGTGAGTCGATGGCATTGGGAAGAGAGGGAGAGATCGAGAGAGGGAAGGAAGGAGGGGGGGAGGGAGAGAGAGAGCGAGGGAGGGTGGTGTGAGAAGAAGGAGAGCATAATACACAAAAAGCTATCCATGCCAGCACTTACGTACATGCTTACATTATACACATCTAAGTCAGTCCCATGGCACTAGGCTGTCTGCCACACACCCAGCACAATACAGGGGAGGGAGGGGGGGCAGTACTACATTAAAAGGGAGGGATTGTCAGCTATAGGGACCAGGCCAAGTGAACAAGATGGGGGTGTGAATGGAGGTGACTCATATGCATTACTCAATTTGGCACGGGTATATATATACTATTATCTCTCTGTATGGAGAGATAATAGTATATATAAAGCACCACTTTATACCATATACCGCACTACACGACGTTCACATTCTCCGCATTCTTATACATGTACATTGTCTGTTTTTTCTTGTCTCCTCTGGACAGCCGAGTGTTGTGTGTCTCTGCGAGGACTCTTTGCTCCCGCACCGGTCAGCGTCACAAAGACACTCATCCACCAAGGACAGGAGATTGGAGTGCTCGAGTGAGATATCTCCTTTCTTCCTCCTCTTTCTTCTTGATACACAGACACACAGGCATAATACATATGTATGGACACACACACACACACGTGCATGAGCTGTCCTGGGTGTAGTTGACTTGTTTGCCTTTCTACCTCATTACCAAGTTGTTGAGACATGCACACACATACAAACAATAATAGTTTTTTTCCACAAACTTATCCAAAGACTGGTGTATTACCTCTCTGTCGTATTATCTTCAGAGCCTACATTCATGTGACTCTGGATCATTATCCAAAGCCAGAAGAAGATCTATACTGTAAGTATTACAGTCCCTCCTAGAGAAATATTATGTGTAATACGGAGTTCACAGCATAAAGTGTAGCAATTGTTTTCCATTTCCCCAGCTGACCTCAATTTTATCACTGCCGATGACAGCTCTGATTTGGACAGCGGTCGGAATCGCGCCATTGCTCACAGCTTTAGTGAGTCCCCTCCCTCCCCTCTTCCCTCCACATAGTCACATATCCAAACCTCTCCCCTGCCCACCTCACTGCCGAGCCTGATGCACTATAACATTATCCAGTATCTACATACATGTACAGGAAGTTTTGATTGTGTGGGAAATCCAGTTCGTAAACAATCTAGTCAGGCTGGCAGCTGCTTTGTCTTTGCTGGCTCCCACTTACACAGTTGGAGACAGTCCCTGGCAGTATTATACACTGCTGTATGAGACTCCTAATATGGCACATATGGCACCCAGCTGCAGTTAATTAAAATGCCCTCTCAATCTGAAACACTAATATCTTGTTAGCATGAATTTCCGACTGGTTCGTGTGCAATGATAACGAGCATTTTTCTGACGTTGAGAATTATTAGTAATTAAACCTGTCTGCATTTCTGTACGTTGCATTGTTTTACATACATACGCAATGCTTTCTCTTTCTTTTCCATTCAATGTAGTTTGGTATTATTCATGCAATTGTGTTCCAATTCTCCATTTGTATGTCTGTATATTATGAAAGGGAAAGCTGAATTTCACAAATTTATGATGCTGCATCACAAATTTATGATGCTGCATCATCCCTATACTAAGTACTGCCGTATTTACTGATAGTATCCATTCATAATGGGGATCTCTTATGGGGTTCTTTAAAAACCTCAGTTAACTCTACCAGCAATGGAGTTGGTGGTCGGACATCGAGCATGTCGGATCGCTCAATCCACCACGTGGCTCGCAGCAGTACACACTCCTCCTCCTCCTCCTCCTCCTTCTCCTCACTCACGTCGCTGCGATCACACGTCTCACAACAGCCCCTCCCCTCTCCCCCTGTACCGGCGGAGAAGCCACCACCAGTTCCCATTTCCAGCCCGCCTCCCCCACTTCCAAAGAGAAGGTGAGTTTCAAGTTAGCCTCCTTTTCAGTATGTGGAGAAAAACTCTTTTCCTTTTCAATTGTGTGTGTGTCTTTAGTCACCATTTAGAGGGTAGCTTTTGAGGCCGGAGAAATAGCAATAAATGTGAATTTTCAGGGTGGATATTTTTTTCCTTGGATTTCCTTCCAAAGCTTTTATGGAGAAAAATGCACTCTCAGACCGTTTCCTGCCTCTTATACTGTACTCATTACTTGTCTGATTGAAGGGGTTGAGGTAATTTCCCCCTCTCTCTGTTGCACAGAGACCTGTCTCATCGGCCTTCTTCTGCACAAGATTCCCCCCACCAACCACCCACTCCTGTCGCTAGGAAACCAGAGAGCATTGCCGTTACTGGGTAAAACCCACCTCCCTCCCTCCGTCCTCTCTCTCTCTCTCTCTCCTCTCTCTCTCTCCTCTCTCTCCTCTCTCTCTCTCTCTCCTCTCTCTCTTGATAATTCTATTGTCATTATGTAGACGGCAGGAATCCACAGCACTGTTACAAGCTCTTTCAGTGACATCATCCGGGGTTAGTTGGGCGAACAAGCAAGCCCACCTAGTCATCTGAATCGTGTTATAATTGCATGTTTCAGCGCTATAATGTATATGCTGGTTTGCTCACCTATAATGTGTACTGTAAGTGTGTAACTGCTGACACGGATAGCTTTCTTCAGTTCAGTGCATATTGTAGTGTATCTTGTTCTTCAGGATGCAGCTGGTCGACGGGGTAGTGCCCCACACCACCAGCTGCTACTAGCCCACCAGAACCAGCTCACCCCACCAGAACCAGCTCCCCGCACTCACCACCCTCCCACACTCCCCGGGGGAAACCCCCCAATCCCTCTTCGTCGGAACCAGTCCCTGCGGAAAGTCGGAAAAAACTCGGACGACGGTCCATCTGTCCCACCTCGACACAGTTCTCGCGATCGTCTCGAACTCCCTCCTCCTCCTCTCCCTCCTAAATCGCCCGAGCCAACCTCACTCAACAGGGCAATAGAAGTTAGTCCTCTCGCTAATAAAACCATCATCCCTTTTCTTTCTTGCACGTGCCCCTATGACTAGGACAAGATTAGTATGCAATTTTGTTTCTCGTCCATCTTGAACCGACCTGTTTCTCTCCGGACACAATGCTACGTTTGTTGTTGTCTCTTTTCCCGTTCCCTAGGCTTCGCGCAAGCTGTCGTCGGTCGAAGATCTGCTCTCACTGCACGGCCTGTCGCAGTACACAAAGAAACTGGTCGAAAACGGGTATGACGACATTCTTTTCATCTCGGAGATCACGGACATCGAGCTGATCGAGATTGGAGTTGCTTCACCGGCAGAAAGAGCTAGAGTAAGCCCCACTTTCTGATTTATGAATGTCCACATTTTTATCTTTTGCCCTCTCTGTCGTACAGTTGCTGAAAATTTTCTCCGCCTATGCATCATGACATTTATGTGCAATAGACTAATAAACTATCTGTGTCTGTACTGTTCTTGTATATACATGATAATGTGCACTTGCGCTGTTTCTTTGTGTGTTTGTTGTGTGTTTAATGCGCATGCGCGTATAATTCGCTCGTTTGCGTGGGTGGACTTGCCCACGCCCACAAATTAGTTTATAACCTCGGACGATACGCACGACCACCTCACATTTTGGAGCCAACTACACGAGTCTTGTGGGAAGAAGCAGTATTGGCAGTTAGCTGAGAAAGTTAGGCAGCTTTCGTAGGTCGGGAAATGGCGGATTCAACCCCACCCAGCATAGCCGTACTGAGCGAGACGACTGATCAGGACGGTGTTGGAGGAGAAGGAGGAGAAGAAGTGAAGCAGAGTTTGGAATCACTCCTGTCTCGCTCGGACAGCGCCAGCGTGGACGAGGATGGGGACGAAGGGGAGTCCTCGACGCTGGCCGTCCCGAGCACCTCGCAGGGGAAATCGAGAGATACCAGCCGAAAAGGCCGCAAGATATCTTTGAACGTGAAGGTATGGATACAGCTAGGTGGGATGCTAGCGGTGTTGGGCGGGGGGTAACGCTAGAGAAAGGAAGAACAGGATAAGCTGCAGTTGTGTGTTGTGTTCTTAACAAGCTAGCTGGCAGGTGAAATCTGTTCTTGGCAATGCACCTTCAAATGTGACAATGGAGTGCTTTTCTTCACGATGGATCGCAGCCTGATAACCTATTTCTTGCTAGACTGAACTTGTGCATGTATGTGTGCATATTGGTAGTGCTTTTGCATCATCCAAAGGAGGAGCTGTAGCTATTGGCATGTCCGCGTAGAGTGGGTGTATTAGAGAGCTTTTGGTTAATGGTCCAAGTCATGATGTGGAGGTACATAGTAGATTGAGCAGTGTGCTTTCTGTTTGGATGATACACTGTGGATCTGCCCACACGCTCTGTTTGCATTATGACAAAGAGACGGAGGGAGAGAGAGGACGACGGAAGAGAGGGGGAGGAAAGCAAGCCACCTGGCCAAGTTTACGAAGAGCCCACGCAAAGGGGATTAGGATGACACGTCTAGTGCCGCACTAACCTGTTTTGTAGTCTTAGTAGGAGCATGGTGCGATAATCATCCTTGATTACCAACCCAGCTGCATGCCAATCTCTATAATTTACCAGCTAGCCTACGCCTCCTATCTCCTCCTGTTTGTTACGAAACACTTGATAGGTACGCTATCTACTTGATTATGGATCCCATTGGGAGTTCTACTGCATACAAATGTACCACCTTATACCGCCTACGTTTCCTTGCATGTACATGCAGTTTTAGCATAGTGCATAGTGGCTGCTGTAGTATCTCAGGTTTCTGAGCCACATACATGTGGGTCTAGAGAGGAACTGGTGTTGCAGTTCCTGCTCCGCATGTGTGAGGTTTCATGTGGCTCTGAGCAATGAGTCAGAGTGAGGCTTCACCGGCTTTGTCAGGATACCCACTTCCCCTTCCTATATAGTCCACCGCCCACTCCTTCTGGCTGTCTGGAGCTCACATAGAGTGGGTTGGTGGTGGTGGTCTGATGTGTGTGTTCCCTTGGGTAGTGTTGAACATTGCTGTATATAGTGTGTGTTGAAGGGGAAGTGACCTCATCAATGCAGACTACCATACTGACCATACATACTGACTACCATACCCAGACCACCATACTGAAATTACACCCCTGCACAGCCTTTACAAATCTGGCCTGTTGTAGTAGAGCAAGTAGGGGGCGCATGATGAGCTAATGGATTTAATGGTAGGTGCAGTACAAAGGTGAGTGTGTGCATGTTTTACTAGCGTTTCGACTTGTCTTATCCGCTTTCTTGTTTAATGCACTCTCTCTTCCCATCTCTATCATTACCTCCGCAGGAAGTCGAAGCGATAAAGGAAGGCTATTTGGATCGAGCTGGCAGATTTCAGGTATATACACACAATAGGAAACTGTCCACTCTACCCCCAAGATTGTTGCAACCTCACCCACACACCTGTCATATGTACATGTACACAGCCGTGTTGTATATATAGACACATGCCTCCTGCTGAGTGTGTTTATTTACTGCCTACGTCTCTTTAACCTGGCTCTTGAGCCTACAACAACCCCTCTCTACTGCCCAACCCGGCTCTTGAGCCTACAACAACCCCTCTCTACTGCCCGCATGTTTGCACATAATACTACACTAAAGTCGAGGTGCCAATACGACAGAAGAAAGCGTCCGGGTGTCTTTATTTCAGGGGTTTGTTGCATACAAGATCTGTTGTCAGGGAAAGAACAGGTGTCCTTGTTAGAGATGTACCTACATGTCCTCCTTTCAGGGGTACTTCTAGAGAGGGGTTCCACTATATGCAATGAATATTTTGGCAAGTGAGCACGAGTCACATACGGTGCGGCGTACATTACAGGATTGGGATATTTTAATCCCCATTACATTACAGCAGTGCCCACAGACGTGGATAATTGCGCAATAGAGATGACTAGGTGTAGGTAGACTGGGTAGACTTGGCCTAGTGTATATATATAGACAGAATGAGCCTACTCTTGTCACAGTAGTTACCAGAGTAAAATTGTTCCTTTTGAAGTGTGGGTGTTGGGTAACTCTCTTCTCTCTCCCCACCTACACCCCGTGAGTGTGTAAACTACAGCTGCATCCATGTACTACGTACCTATCATTGTGTGTGGCCTTTTGTTGAGGCACTACTATATAATATTCCTAGGAAATTACCTGTAGTAGGAAACAACGTGGCAGGAAACTACGTAGCTACAACTGTAGTTTGTACCACGCAACTTCACTGAACCACGAGTGCAATGGGATCGACACGTATTATAATTGAGAACATGTGGGAAACATTAGCTGTATATACAGTTGCAGCTGCAACGTATACAGTACTCTAGTTCGAAGTGGTTCAGTATCGAACCTACAGTACGTACAGTGCACAGGATGTGTGTAATGACTGAGAGAACATGCCGAAGACATGGGGAGCACTCTTTGGTGGTTAGTTTTACTTTAAACGTAGTTTCGTGCGTTTGGGTTCAAAATCTCTGTCGCTAATTCCGTCACGTTAGGTCAGTCTCAACAGTTGCATTCCCCTCACCTTCTCCTAGCAACCCATCGTCTGGCACGTAATAAATAATGATTATCTTCACACTCACTCACTGTTGTTGTAGAGATGGAACAAAAAGTACCTGAGAATAGTAGGGGACCTTCTCTATCTCTCAAAAAACGCAGAGGTAAGTTCATCATCTTTTCAAAAACTGATTCTATTTATTCCCCACCCCTTTTTTCTTTAGGACAAGCTTCATGAAGAAATAGTCCTCAAAGATGCTAATGTTGCAGAAAACAGCACCAAGAATGTCAACCACAGCTTTTCCGTGAGTTCCCACTCTCCCATGATGTAATCCCCCACAGTACCCATTGAATCTCTATGGAGACTATGACGTAATCCATCGCCTCCAGGTCATCACTCCCTACCAGCAAGTACTGTTTGCGGCTCCGACTCGCAAGAGCATGGAAGAGTGGATGACCGCTTTTCGAGTCGCGTCACAACAGACAGTGAGTCTGAGTTTTTCACGTTTTTTTGTGTTTTTTTAAAAAGTGGGTGTGGATCTTGTACTTTAATCTGTGGCACGTTGCTAGGGCACCGTTTGTCTCTGTACTATGGAATGTCATGTTACATCATTAGGTCCTCTGAAGCACTACGACCAAGTATTCACAACGCTGCTATTGAATGAAACTAGTACATGAGACTAGTCCGCCCCTAGCAAACGCAGAGTTGTGAATATTCACGGTGTGTATGCCCCTATTTCCTCCCTCAATTTCTTTTGACTGAAACACCCACTGTAACTCTCCCCTCCCCTCTTTCTTCTTCCTGTATATACCTCCTTCTCTACCCTCTCTCTATCCTTTATTCCTTCCCTCTCTTGACAACCCCTCTTCCTCCCTCCATCTTCCTCTCTCTCCCTCTCTCCCACCCTCTCCAGCCAAGTCTGGACATCCTCCAGCACCTTGAAGGCCAGCACGCTTGGTTCTCTTGCTCGCACCACCGACGCACCTACTGCAACGTGTGTCGGGAGCGGCTCCACGGGGTCGCGTGGCACGGACTCTCTTGCGAGGTGTGCAAGATGAAGTCCCATCGTCGCTGCGTCTTTCAGCTGAAGGAGAAATGCAAGTGGACAACCAGATCCAGTCTAGAGCAGGCCGGAGTCAGAATTGAACAAGATGTAAGTGGCGTATTGAATAAGTAGCATATAAGATGCTTAATCCTTTCTGGACAGTGTGTTAAACACTCAAATAAACTCACCTAAACTGTCGGGGGAGTTTTCATTTTTCGATCTCTCTGATTCTTTGGACAGTACTCTATACCTCACATGTGGGTGGAGGGGAATCTTCCGGCGGGGTCAAAGTGCACCGTGTGCCAGCGAGCCTGTGGAAGTCTCATGAAACTCCAAGACTTCCGCTGCGTCTGGTGCAAATGGACGGTAAGTCCCGACGTCCCCACATTTCTACCGTATTACAGCGGGAGATGTTCGAGAGAGAGAAAAAATTTTCACGTTTTTTTTAGCCGTCCGCGAAATTTTTTCAGCGGGGACATTTTATTGCGGGAACATCAATCTGTGAGAGTTCCAGCTGTTAAATTCGCATTGCTACAGAAACGGCGAAATTTTCTCTCTCAAACGTTTCCACCATACAGCACTCTGCAACATATTTTCATTACAGTGTGTGATGTGTGATGTGTGATGTGAGTGTGTGATGTGAACGTGTAATCCCAGGTCCACACCGAGTGCCAGGATAAGGTTGAAAAGACGTGTACGTTGGGAGATCTCCAACTGTCCATCCTGCCGCCGTCTGCTCTCCAGCGATCTGACGCCATCCGGAAAGGAATGTGGGAGGTATATTATATGTACATACTGTAACACTATAATCTGGTGGACATATTGAGCCAATTTCATAAAGCGGTTTAGCAGAAATTGGTTTAGGAACCAATCCCTTTTAGCTGCAACTAACCAATCTATGATCTTTCATCCATTCTCTCTCCTGCACCCTTTTGGCGACAGCTACAACTAATCTATTTTGCTGTTACTACAATAATGTTCCTTGTTCACGGGGAGTTTTAATCTGGTGTGAACTCAGTGCATGAGTACAGGGTAAGGGTTGTGAATTCAGAGTAAAGGAAGTAATGTTCTTTGGTATTGTTGGCAGTGATGCTATGAAGACTCAAATGCAGTAGAATGTGACTGGCTGGCTGCGCCCATTTCAAGTCCCGAAGTCCTCAAAAAAGATGTGTGTGTAATGCTTCGCTGTGTGTTGGTCGGTTTTCACCCGGACGACCCTGCACGCCATTGACTGCTTCACTTTTAGTATGTCGCCACGGCTTCGTGCAGTTTCGGCAAGGTTTGCACATGCCTCAGTCAGTTCCCAGTAGTTGGCCTGAGGGTGTGTGTATGTCTCTTGGCATCACATGGTATTTTCTACATGTAGCTACCGCCAGCTTCCTTCCGGAACATTCTTCCAGGAACACTGCGAGAAAGTGTGTCGTGTTTCTACTTATTTCTTTTCTTTCTGTGGTTTGAATTCCTGCCATTATACTTCCATTCCTTCCTTCCGCCCTCTCTCCTCATCCTTCTCTATCTCTTTCCCTCTCTCTCTCTCTCTCTCTCTCCTCACAGCCGTACAAGATGGTGGGGCATAGTCCAGTGCTGGCTATGGTAAACTCCAAGAGCGGAGACAGTCAGGTGCGTTTCCCCACATTTTCCTGTTTTTCCTATCTCCTCATCTCAAAACAACATCTTGTGTAACCTAGATTGTATCTATGTTTACGCGTATACATGATGTACAATAGATAATGTAATTGTACTTGGCTTATGGCATGTACACGTGTGTATCGTGTTGTACAGGGAGTGAAGTTTCTTCGAAAGCTCAAGTACTGGTTGAATCCAGTCCAAGTATTTGACCTAGCCATCACTGGACCTGACCTTGGGTGAGTTTCATACAAATTTGACCCGCGACTTTTTAATAGTCCCAGACAAAAAAAGTTTTGCACCTCTTATGTACAAAAAAAAAGGATTTAAATTCCAGCGAGAGAAAGTTTCTGAAAGGAGGGGGTGTTGGATAACCATAGTGGAATGCATTCCACTCGCATTCTTTTCTGCTTACGTGTATGTTAACTATATGTGTGCATTAGGCGAGTGTGTAGTTACAACAGTGAAAGGAGAGGAGTTAGTTTTTTCCGGTATTGGAGAGGTGTTTCGTATATCACACTCGAGGAAAGGAATGCACAACGGTGTTGTGCTTTCCGGTGTGTTAAGTTAAGTAAACACAACCTGTGCCCATGCTAGTGTAGTTAATTTTTGTCACGGATGACAGTATGGGATAGATGTGTGTATGTATGCAGGTTGCAGTTGTTTCAGCGTTTTGAAAAGTTCCGTATCATTGTGTTTGGTGGAGATGGGAGTGTGGGGTGGGTACTGTCAGCTGTGGATCGCTTCAACCTTCACTCCAAGGTACACACACACACACACAAACACAGATGAGAATATTTCACACATACATACAGGTGGAGTCATACACTTTTAGTTTATCTACTATATCAGTGAATCTGCAGGTTAAAGAAATATAGTTGTTCAACAGTTTATGCTGTACCAAACTGGGGGGGGGGGGGATGTGGGGGGGCTGGGTCTGCTGGTGGGG